TGCATTCGTACAAGCTGCCGGGGCATGGATGTGCAGCTCAAGCTCAATTCAACTGGGTTTAGGGTTTAGGGTTCAGGGTTCAGGGTTTAGGGTTTAGGGTTTAGGGTTTAGGGTTTAGGTGCACTCCTAGCTGCTTGTACCGACATGCTCATGTCCCAAAGGCGGCCAACCTCTGCTAGGCCACACGTCTGCAACACCTAAAAACTTAAACATCCCTCACCTGAACTCTACGACCCAAACCCCAAAACCCTAAACCGTAAACTCCTGGCCGAACCCCCTAACCGCTAAACGCTAAACTATCAAACCCTAAACCATAAAACCGCAACCCTTAGGCCGAAGGCCGAAACCCACCGAGGTGCAAGCAAGTGGCCATCGTCAACCAGGTCCCTGCTTTCATTGGGTACGAAGAGAAGCTTGGGAGCGGTTGGTTTAGGGTTTAGGGTTTCGGGTTTAGGGTTTAGGGTTTAGGGTTTCAGGATTCGGGGATTGTTTCTGAACATCATGTGAACTTCTTGGTGGGTATTTCTAGCAGAGCTTCCAGCAGCCTTTAAGCAGCCCCTGAAGGTGGTTTTCAGACTCCCTGAAACTCCGCAAAGCCTGTGGATGGAAAAAGCCTTGCGAGCACGCAAATGCAAAATCCACAACGTTGTGAGAAGGTGTCACCGCCTTGGGGGAGGGGTTTAGGGTTTAGGGTTTAGGATGTGGGATTTAGGGTTCAGGGTTCAGGGTTTAAGGATGTAGGGTTTAGGGTTAGGGTTTAGGGTTTAGGGCTTAGGGTTTAGGGTTTAGGGTTTAGGGTTTAGGCTTTAGGCTTTATGGTTTCGGGTTTGGGGTTCAGGATTCAGGCCACACCCCCTAGCCATATATGGAGGCATCTGTGTCTGGCGTGGAGGTCAAACAGCCGCGGCACCAAGCTCTTCTCCGTTGCCCCGCATCACTTGGCATGGACCCCGGCCCAAGGTTTAGGGTTTAGGGTTTAGGGTTTAGGGCTTAGGTCTTAGGGCTTAGGGCTTAGGGGCAGGGCTCAGGGCTCATGTTTTTGCTTTGGGATACTGTGCGGTTGATTGTTTGGGAGTGGAGGCTTTATGGTTCAGGGTCATTAGCGGCACGGGCTAAGGACGACGACGAGAAGCAAGCTTGAAGCCCTGTTGGAGAGGGCCATGTGCGGCGATGACGCACAGGGCCCACAGGCTAAGGAGCCAGCCCTAAACCCTAAACCCCAAACCCCAAACCCCAAATAAACCCAAACCCCAAATAAACCCAAAACCCAAGACCCAACCCAAAACCCAAAACCCAAAACCCAAAACCCAAAACCCAAAACCCAAAACCCAAAACCCAAAACCCTAAACCCTAAACCCTAAACCCTAAACCCTAGGGCAGTCCCAAGTCGGAAGCGCTGGGCTCGGAGGAAAGCTGCAACAACTGAGACGCTTGTCTACAGCCTCAACTCCAAAATCCTTCAAGGCCCCATGTGCTCGCTAAACCGTCAAGCAACAAAAAAACCCTCAAGCCACTTGAGCCCTGAGAAAGGAAACTGCAGGGTTTAAGGTTTAGGGTTTACATTTAAAAGCCTGTCTATCAATGTATGTATATTTTCATACACACGCACACACATATATACATATAATTGCACAAATACTGAAAACAACTAATACTACTAATCGTACTAGTAGATACAATAGCACAAATACTAAAAAAACAACCAGTACTACTAATCGTAACAGTAGATATGAGAAAGGCCCTTCGGCCCCTCCCATGCCAATCGAGGCGCTGGTTTTCGACTCTTTCGCAGCCCGAGATCGCTGCCCGGGGCCCCTGAAACGGTTTAGGGTTTATCGGTAGGGTTTAGGGTTTAGGGTTTAGGGTTTAGGGTTTAGGGTTTAGGGTTTAGGGTTTAGGGTTTAGGGTTTAGGGTTTAGGGTTTCTAGGGACTTCGGGGTTCATGTGGGATGGGCTTCGGGCACATAGATCCCCGAAACTTGGGAGAATTGTATTCCCTTAGTAGGGATTGTGGCCCCAAACCCTAAACCGGAATAGTAAAGGGTCTATGATCGTTCCCTCATTCACTCTTCGCTGGCCAGTTGAGAGTGTGGTTAGATGTCTAGGCTTTGGGGCTTCAGGGTCTCGGGTTTAAGGCTGTAGGGTTTAGGGTCTGTAGGGTTTGGGTTCAGGGCCTTGAACGAGCATGTCGGATCGCATAGTTCCAGCCGGCCCGTTTCAGGAGGGTTGGGGTTTAGGGTTTAGGGTTTAGGGTTTAGGGTTTAGGGTTTAGGGTTTAGGGTTTAGGGTTTAGGGTTTAGGGTTTAGGGTTTAGGGTTTAGGGTTTAGGGTTTAGGGTATCGGGTTTATTGTTGAGCTGTTCTGGGGTTCCAAAGTTGCTGGCGTTTCCTGGGTGGGTAGGGCAAGAATGCCGCGAATGAGGCGGTTTCGGTTGGAGTAGAGTCGATGGTGTTTGCGCCAACTCCTGATCGTGTAGGATGCCAGGAAGGGCGCAGAATTTTCTCATCTTTTCTTCCTGCTATTTCTTCTATTGTGATTATGCTTCTGATGACCATGACTTTACATGCTGACTATTGAACACTCCAAAAATCTTGATTGTGACTGTTCTTCGGGTGACGGCTCTAGGAGGTAATATAGGGGTCGGAGTATTCCGTTAGGGTCCCTTTATAACTGTACTACAACTGCACCGAAACCTTGTTCTAATTGTTAAGGCCCCTATGTTACCCCTCGCCCCCCCCAACCGACTCAGGTCTTGAGCTCATCCGGCAAGTGCTGCCGCTGCCCACGCCCACCGCCTCGACCCCATGAGGGTTTTGTTTTTTTAAGGGGCTTGAGGGGGTTTTCAGGGGTTCAGGGGTTTAGGGTTCAAGGTTTAGGTTTAGGGTTTTAGGGGCTCAGTTCAGGGGTGCACCAAAAGAGGGTCCGGGGGGAGGGATGGGATGGGAGACATGGGTATCTTGCCCTTCATGCCCAGGCCAGCCGCTCCAAGTGCTTTCCGGCATCGCCACCTTGACGTAGAGTGACTCGCCACCTGAAAATCAGCCACTCACTGCAGATAGGGTTTAGGGTTTAGGGTTTAGGGTTTAGGGTTTAGGGTTTAGGGATGCTTTTATGAAGGCATCGACCGGGCTGTCGAAAATGTAACGGGTGAATGCCAAGGGTGCCTTCATAGAACCCCGCACCCCAATCCTGAAGTTCGAGTTCCGGGCGCAGCATCCCGAAACCCTAAACCCTAAACCCTAAACCCTAAACCCTAAACCCTAAACCCTAAACCCTAAACCCTAAACCCTAAACCCTAAACCCTAAACCCTAACTCCTAAACCCTAAACCCCAAACCCCAAACCCCAAACCCTAAACCCTATAAAAATCTCGATAGACTCGCAGCGGGAGGGTGTGCTGGTGACGCCCCGTCCGAACGGACGGCGCGTCAAAGTGTTCATGAAACTCGGGTCTGTCCCAAGAGCCGGCTCCCCCCACGGGTTTAGGGTTTAGGGATAGGGTTTAGGGTTTAGGGTTTAGGGTTTAGGGTTTAGGGTTTAGGGTTTAGGGTTTAGGGTTTAGGGTTAAGGGTTTAGGGTTTAGGGTTTAGGGTTTAGGGTTTAGGGTTTAGGGTTTAGGGTTTAGGGTTTAGTATTCCCCACCACTCAGGCACCCCAAGCTCTTATTGCCCTCTGGGCCCACTGGGGTTCACATTCCCCAAGCGCGAAACCCTAAACCCTAAACCCTAAACCCTAAACCCTAAACCCTAAACCCTAAACCCTAAACCCTAAACCCTAAACCCTAAACCCTAAACCCTAAACCCTAAACCCAAGAGTCCGAAACCCTGAAGCTTCCTCTTCCCGATTTCAGTGGGGGGAGCCCAGAGCTCCATCCACCCCTTGGGAGAATGGTCGTCCTACGCCTCACTTCGTTGTGAGTTATGCGGCGCGTTTGACGGGCTTAAGCAGTTGTTCGGGCGGCCATTCCAACAAGGCAGATACCATGCAGATACTGTCCCATTTGCGTGCCGGAAACTGGAGGCTTCTTCACACGTACGGGGGTGTACGACCCCCCCAATATCCCCTTGCAATAAGGACCCCCATGAGGTAGCCCTGATTTCGGAAGCCACCAGATCTTGTCGTGGCAGCCGGCACCCTTCCCAACCTGGGGAAGGGAAACCCTCCAGTTTCATCGGTACGCTGCCCTGCGCTGCGTCGTTCTTGTTTTTGCTGTTTCACCTCGCTTCGTAGCCGAAAATGCAGTCATGTTGGGTGAGCCTGGGTCAGGAAAAAAACTCTCGCACCCCGATGTGTTGTGAGCCCACCGGAATGATAGTTCTGGCATAACCGATGCCCCCGAAGCTCCACAACCCGAAGCCCGAAACCCCAAGCACCGAGACTGAAGGATCAAAGCCCTGTGGACGGGATTGGGTTTGGGGTCCCTCAACCCTAAGCCCGCATGTGGGGGTGCAGGGTTTAGGGTTTAGGGTTTAGCCAGGGTTTAGGGTTTATATTCTGCAGCTTCGCAAAGACCCGGCTCTTCCGCGTTTTGCTCCCGGGGATCACGCGGAGCCAAGCCGTTGTTGAAGAGTTTCGGGCTCAGGTATGCAGGGGCTGTAGGGCTTTAGGGGGGGAGGGCTACGGACTTCAGGATTTTGGGGGTTTGGGTGCGTGAGGGGGGGGGGGGTTTAAAGCTTAGGTGTTAGTTTAGTTTAGGGTTTCAGGTATCAGGTATCACTAGGATCTAGGGGGCATCTGTGTTTCCAATTTGGAAGTGCCCGTTCCCAGAATTCCTTAGAAACGCATAGGAACCCTCAAGAATTTCCCAGAAGGACCGTTAGCAGACCAACGACCATGTATGTTTCATTGGGGGTCAGGAGATGCCTGTGATATTTGGGGGTTTACGAAAATGAGGGACCCCTAATTAGTATAGATCCCCAAATAGATTTCGGACACCCCCCCCATTTCGCAGCCCTAAACCCTAAACCCTAAACCCCGAACCCTAAACCCTAAACCCTAAACCCGAAACCCCTAAGACATGCTTTGCTGGCTCCAAGTGGCCTGTCGTGTTCCCGGCGTCAGCTCCGACCTGATGCCAAAGGCGCCTGACTCCCGAAACCCTGCATCATGTCACAGGGCTAAGGGTTTAGGGTTTAGGGTTTACGGTTTAGGGTTTCGGGTTTCGGGGTTAGGGTGTAGGGTTTCGGGTTTAGGGTTTAGGCTTCCCAGAATTAGGGGTTCCTTTTCCAAGTAGGAATTCGTTTGCGGGGCTATTTTTAAAGAGGGTTACCCCAAAAAGGGAACATAAGCTGCCCACATGATTTACCCACATGATTTAGGGGTTTAGGGGAGGTGTTGGGTATGGGTGAAGCCTAAAACCCTGAACTGTAAGCCCTTAGACCCTAAACCCCCTGAAGGTCAAATCCCACAGCAGAGGTAAACCCTAAACCCTAAACCCCAAAAACACTGCCAGAAGAATGTGTGTAATAGAGGATTTAGGGTGTGTAGAGCAGGCCCAAGTTTTTTGCCACGTGTCTAGTTCATAATTTAAACCCAGAGCTCCCGTCCGAATTCAATAGTCCCCTACATTAGGCGTGGGAGAAGGTGTGTTGCAATGGCTTTCCTCAAATCGGGCCATAGCTGCACTTTGCGCTTCATGAGGCATTCGCAAGTATTTTCGATTCTCGCACCCTAACCCCTAAACCCTAAACCCTAAACCCTAAACCCTAAACCCTAAACCCTAAACCCTAAACCCTAAACCCTAAACCCTCTCGAGCCGAGTCTTTGTCCGCCTTTGGCATGCACGGTCTGGACCCTGGGGCAGCCTCTGCTGAAGAACTCACCAGGGCTGCCCCCTTCGGACGACTTCTCATGCTTCCGTGGCTTTTCTTCCACAATGCTTCCATCCCGCTTCATTGCGTGACACCCCACACTCTCAACTCAACAGTACGTCCCCCCAAAGTAGCGCACACCATCCTCGTACTTGTACCCCTAAACCCTAAGCCCTAAACCCTGAACCCTAAACCCTAAACCCTAAAACCTAAACCTTAAACCTTAAACCCTAAACCTTAAACCCTAAACCCTCAACCCTAAACCCTAAACCCTAAACCCCGTACTTGTATGGCAGCGCCGGGATGGATTGCACAGGCTTCCGTCCGCACTTTTCCGGTGTGCGGTGCAGGGCGTCCGAGACTTCTTATGGGTGAGGTCTCACAATAACCCTAAACCCTAAACCCTAAACCCTAAACCCTAAACCCTAAACCCTAAACCCGAAATCCTAAACCCTAAACCCTAAACCCTAAACCCTAAACCCTAAGCCCTAAACCCTAAACCCTAAACCCTCCTCAGTAGTCGCAGAAGTAAACGTTGACCCTGCGAAAACCTAAGCCGTAAACCCAAACTTCCAGTAGGGTTTAGGGTGGGTTTTTAGAGGGGGGGACTCCCTGCAGCGAAGCTTGACATCAATGGCCACTGGATGCTTTGTATGGCCGCTGCTTCTGGTTTTTGCGCTTCGGTGGAAAATATGCTCGGGGAGATCTTAAACCCTGAGCCCCAAAACTCCAAAGCGGGGACTAAGCCCTGTAACCCCAAACCCTGAAGACCCCAAAGCTTTCTCCAATCCTGCTCATTGCCACGCAAGCCATCGAAGCAGGGTTTAGGGTTTGGGGTTTAGAGTTTAGGGTTTAGGGTTTAGGGTTTAGGGTTTAGGGGCCCCAACTCGAGGCCTCGAAATTTGCAGCGTGGATGCTCAGAGCAGTATAGCTGCGCCGCCGACACAACTTCGGCCATGGCCTCCATTTTGTGGCGAGCAGGCCCGCTGAGGGTTTGGGGTTCAGGGTTCAGGGTTTGGGGTTTAGGGGTTTAGGGTTTAAATCGGGTTTCGGGGTTTTGGGTTTAGGTTTAGGGGTTAGGGTTTAGGGTTTTTGGGTGTAGGGCGGGTTTAGGGTTCAGGGTGCTGCCGGTACCGTGGGCCTAGTCTATGCCCCTCCCAAAAAGAGGCACCTGAGGAATAGGAAGCCTGTGCTTGGTTGGGGGAGGGGAAAGGGATTTAAGTCTTTGGTTTCGGGGGTATACGGGTACCCAAACCTGAAACCTACACTCGTGGGCCCGAAGCCCTAAACCCTAAACCCTAAACCCTAAACCCTAAACCCCAAACCCTAAACCCCAAACCCCAAACCCCAACCCCCCAAAAGCCCTCAGTTCTTCAGAGGCCTCCTGGCACTTCTGGGTGCTTGGACCGCCGCCGCCGAAGATGAATCGCCCCTCGCAGGCCCCGGGCAGTCGACCCCTACGCCTTGGGATGTTCCCCCTTAAAAGCAGTCCTTGATAGGGAGGTTAGGGTTTAGGGTGTAGGGTTTAGGGTTTAGGGTTTAGGGCCCCCTATGCTTATCCCTATTATGGACTGTTAGTATAAGAGGGACCATCCCAACCGCTAAGCCCTACAGCCAAACTTTAGAACCCTAGATCCTAAAGTCCTAGCCATAGGGTTCGTAGGGTTCGTAGAGTTCAGAGGGTTCATAAATTTCACAGGGTTTATCGGGTTTGTGGGTTTTGTCGGGTTCATAGGGTTCATAAGGCTTGTGGGGTCTATAGGTCTTTGAGGGTTTATGGCATTTTTTTGGGTTTACAGGTTCATAGAGATTATAGGGCTTGTAGGCAGGGTTTATGAGGTTTTCGGGTCTGTAGGGTTTATGGGGCTTACCGAGCTTATAGGCAGGGTTTATAAGGTTGATAGAGTTTATAGGGTTTATACGGTTTGCACTCGTCAAATCTATGGGGTTTGGGACTGCTGAGGGTCTTCAAGCCCTACAAGGAGGGCATCGGCGTTAGATCGCCGACTGAGCTTAGATGCTGGGCTTGCTAGAGTTCGTAGGGTTTACTTGGCCCCCCCAGGGCCCAAGACTATGGCCTTTGAAATCAAGATAAAGTGCGTGCATCGGCCATTGCTTTGCGGTTGCTTGCGGGTCTAGGTTGGGCTTGATGTGCTAAGAACCCCCAAGCCTCAGACCCTTGAACCCTGGAACCCACACCAAGACTCCTAAATGGGGTTGCTCTGTCCTTCATCGATACCATACGAGAGGCAAATTCTTATGGGACATGAAAGAACCCTCAATTCCAGGAGGCCGATTTTGCCTTTGTGGGGTTTGCAGGGTCTTAAGGGTTGACAGGGTTAGAAGTTCAGGGTTTAGGGTTTAGAGTTTAGGGTTTTGAGGTTTAGGGGGGCTCATATACAGGGTTTTTGGGCTGGGCTGGGTTTAGAGGGGTTTGAGAAGCGGACCCTTCGCTCAGACGGCGAGATCGCTCCGGGACCAGAGGCGCGTTTGCAAAGCCCTAACACCCCAAAATCCCAAAACCCCAAAACCCCAAAGCCCCCAAACCCCAAAACCCCAAAACCCCAAAACCCCAAAACCCCAAAACCCCAAAACCCCAAAACCCCAAAACCCCAAAACCCCAAAACCCCAAAACCCCAAAAACCCCAAAACCCCAAAACCCCAAAACCCCAAAACCCCAAAACCCCAAAACCCCAAAACCCCAAAACCCCAAAAACCCCAAAACCCCAAAACCCCAAAACCCCAAAACCCCAAAACCCCAAAACCCCAAAACCCCAAAACCCCACAACCCCAAAACCCCCCCAAAAAAACCCCAAACCCCAAAACCCAAAACCCCCCAAAACCCCAAAACCCCAAAACCCCAAAACCCCAAAACCCCAAAACCCCAAACCCCAAAACCCCAAAACCCCAAAACCCCCAAAACCCCAAAAACCCCTAAACCCCTAAACCCCTAAACCCCTAAACCCCTAAACCCCTAAACCCCTAAACCCCTAAACCCCTAAACCCCTAAACCCCTAAACCCCTAAACCCCTAAACCCCTAAACCCCTAAACCCCAAAGCCCCAAAGCCCCAAAACCCCAAAAACCCCAAAACCCCAAAGCCCCAAAACGTTTCGGGTTTAGCTCAGAAACTTGGGGTTCAGCCAAACCCTGAACCTAAGTCCTCAACCAAGGGGGTTCTTTTTTCGGTTTTCGAGTAAACCCTCACCCCTGAACACCTGAGCTGCTTGCACCTTATAGCCCTCGCTAAACCCCAAGTCCTCGAATCTCCTGTTTAGGGGTTTAGGGTTTAGGGGTTTAGGGGTTTAGGGGTTTAGGAGTTTAGGGGTTTAGGGGTTTAGGGGTTTAGGGGTTTAGGGGTTTTGGAATAGGGCCTTTTCCGCGTTCCTTTCGAAGGAGAGGCTTCTGAAGCCAGGGTCGTCGTCCAGCATCAGGGTTGCGGGGCTCATAGGTTTGAGGGGCTTATGGTTTCGGGTAAAGTTGCGGGGTTAAGCTGTGGGGGCTAAGGGCGGAAGCTACGGCACCACAAGTGGGGTCAGGGCTTTAGCAAGTCTGTGAGAGTTGAGGTGTCAACCTGTAGGAAAAGGAAAGCCCTGCAAGTTCCAATTCCAGAGCGGGCGAAACTCCAAGCCCGAAACCCGAAACCCTAAACCCAAATCCCTACACCCTAAACCCTAAACCCTAAACCCTAAACCCTAAACCCTAAACCCTAAACCCTAAACCCTAAACCCTAAACCCTAAACCCTAAACCCTCCGCTGCCTCACTTTTCCACCGAGGCCGAGCCGGTATTCCCCGCGCAAGTAGAAGCTGGCGGTGCATACGTCTCCAACAAGGATGGCACCGGGGCTTTCCGTTTTGCTGAGTGTGCACGGATCCTCAAAGCCCACTAGTTCCCACTCCTTCAAGAATGTAAGAATATGAGAACATAAGAATATGAGAATATGAGAACATAAGAATATGAGAATATGAGAATATACGAGTATACGAGTATATGCATATACGAATATACATATTGAGGCCCAAAAATAAGGCTACATCCGACCTGTGGGCAGGCCTACCGTAGGCCTGTGGGTAGCCTACGTACAGGCCCTCGGGTAGCCTACCGGTAGGCCGAATATACTAATATACGAATATACTAATCTACTCATATACTCACATACTCATATATTCATCTACTCATATACTCATATATTCACGGACTCACATATTAATGTACGAATAGACTAATGTACGAATATACCAAGAATTCATGGCCACCTCATGTCTCAGGAGGCCAAGGCGTTCTATTGGACGGCAACGATGCGGCCCGTGCGGGAGGGCCAGATGCAAGCAATGCTGCGAATCCTGGCTGACAGCACATCCGAAGTTTAGGGTTTTGGGTTTGTGCATCTCTCTCTTTTTTGGTGTTAAGGGGGGGGCGGGGGGTGGGGGGGGAGAAGGGGGGGGGGGGTGAGATTCATATACCTGAGCAATGATTTCGCGAGTGCGCTAAGGAGCTGCTTTTGAGGATGGGTGGCCGAGCCCTTTTGGTAAGTCTGCAGAGGACATCGTCGCGCAGCCTCCAAAGCTCTTTCCCTCCCCCCCCCCCCCCCCCACAAAAAAAAAGAAAGAACAAACAAAAACATAAAAACACCACATCCCCAACCTTCCTGGAATCATCTGAGGGTTTTTGTCAATCAGAGTGCCCTTTGTTAAGGACGGGCTGGAAAGTTAGATGCCGAACAAAAATTGGAGGACGTGGCAAGCTGGCTGTGGACCGACCTGCTGGCCAGCAACCCTTTCGGAAACTATGGAGTCCTGGTGCCCTGGCCGGAGGAGGACGACGACCAGTGGGGGCCTAAGCTCCACCCATAAGAGCCTCTTTATGAGAAGACACTGCGGCATCGGAGCACTGGAAGACACGAGAAAACACCAGCCTTGCAAGCTTGGTGTGTGCGGCTTTCTGTGTTCACATGAGATCAGAGATACCTGTGTCTGAGGTTGGGCCACGGCGGTTGGGTGGCCTACTCACGGAGGCAGGTCTGCTACATCACGGCAAAGAGCTTCTTCGGTGGGAAGCTCTGGAGGTTCAACAGCGGGCTGTTCCGGCTGATGGACATGTGCACGGGCGCCTGTGACTTTCGGGCCTCCTTTGCAACCCTTCTGGCAGCGTGCGCTGCCGACGAGACGCTGGCGGACGGCAAGCAGGGTCCAATGATCCTTGTGGCAAAGGCTGGAGTCGCGCCAGCGGTGGCGGATGTGAGAGCCTTGGCCGAGAATGTCAAACTGGAGCCCTCCGGGCTGCGCATGTGCGACTACGACGCTGATGCGGGGGAGTTCGCAAATGTCGAGTCAGTACCATCATCGGGCTGCTTGCCGCGCAGTGCGAGTGCACCGGGGGTGGACTTCATGACGGGTGGCTTAGAGGGCCAAGTCACCCAAGATATTTCTGCCTCATGGTTTGGGGGCTACCTCTTCGATGCGAAAGCATGCGGACTCGGTGGTGGACAGGATGAGCGCCTCTCTGTCTACTTCCCGGAAGTCACCGTGCTGGCGTACTTCTTGTCGAGGAGCAGCCCGTACCCCCAAGTGCGGCAGCCGGTTTGGTTCCTGGGCACCCGGAACCTTGGGGACCAAATGAACTCTAACATTGGGGTCATATACACTCTACTACTATAATTCCTATTAAGGTATATGCCCCGTAAACCCTTTTAGGGTTCATTTCGTCCCCAAGGAACTTCTTCAAAAACCTGGATGGCACGGCTCGCTTCGACTCGCCTTTGGTGCTTTCAGACATTCCCGTCGACGATCGTGACCTTGAGAGCATCACCCTGGCTGGCAACTCATACCAGATCGACAGGTCGAGGCGCGGTCGATAGGGTCCACTGCTAAACCCTAAACCCTAAACCCTAAACCCTAAACCCTAAACCCTAAACCCTAAACCCCAAGCAATGCTTGGATTCAGTTCTCGGGGCCTTCCCAAGTCAAGACTTTGTGCCGCATCCGCAGAGGCCCCCCAAAAGTGTAAGACCACGATGGCACATCGCAACTCGCAGAAGCATGAACCAAGCCCTCCCCCCCAAAAAGGGCAAAAGCAAGACAAAATATTTTGCTTCGAACATCCCCACCCTCTCCCGGAAGAGATACTCTGGGGTTGGGCACTCCAGGGACTCTGGGGCTGGGCACTCCGGGGACAATCTGGGGTTGGGACACTCTAGAGGTGGGCACAGGGACACTTTGGGGTTGGGCACTCCAGGGATGAGCGCGGAGTAGACCGGGCGAGGAGAAGCGAGGAGAAGAGTTTTGGGCGAGCAGAAGAGTTGAGTTTAAAATCTAACAACCCCGCACCGAGGGTGGGGAACGACGGCAGTTCTAAGCACTTCAAGAGGATGCGAGAGAATGCAGATCATTTAGAAGCGAGCCCATCCATAGGGATGTCGAGCCTCCACTCAGCGCAAAAGCGAGAGTCGGGGAGTCGCATACAGGCTTTCTCTCCGTACTCTGTTTCGTTGGAACTCCATAGTGCGGCCACACTGTTTGGGGAAACAGCCGCGGTCAAAACGGTTCGACTGGAAGTGGGTTTCATGGAAAAAGTTCTTTACAGCCGTGCCGCCCATGTTGAACATCCCCCATGACGATGTATTCCTCGGATCTGTAGCGTTTATATGGCTTAGATTACAGCTTTAAGCCCATCACTGTGAGTCGAAGAGTGAGGGTCCTGAGGGTCAAAGCAAGGCCCACCGTCCCATTGTGAGAGGCCCGTGGTGGTTTTCATGAGCGAGAGCCAGGGTTTTTTCACGGAGTCGCGGCCAAATCTGGAGCTGGCACGTACAAATCGGCTGGATAGCCAACGAGACATGGGTTCTGGAAAGTATGCTTTCGAGAAGCAGGCGCTTGGGTTCTGCAAAAGAAGGTCCTGCTCCCCAATCCTGGACATTTCTAACCCTAAGCACTAAACTCTTTCGAGCCCTCATCCCCACACCTCGGCATTGGTGTTTCCAGGTGCGGGCGTGGTATCGCTCCATGGCGCTGGACTCCTACGACGAGGCGAGGTCCTATTATCCCCCTTAGCTCCCCGAGTTTTTGTAACATGAACTGGGTATCAACTACCCCCAAGTACCCATTTCAATAGCTTTGGGCGTGAACAATCCGAGCCCCGAACCCAACCCCCCAAACCCTAGACCCCTCCACCCTAAACCCTGACCCCTAAACCCTAAACCCTAAACGCGAAACCCTAAACCCTAAACAACCCAAACCCGAAGCCCGAAACCCGATTAAACCCCCCCCCCCCCCCCCCTTAAAGCCCTAAAGCCCTCTAAGAGGCCCAAAACCCTGACCCTGAACCCGATTACAACCCCCCCCCCCCTGAAAGCCCTCTCAGAGGCTATCGATTACAACCCCCCCCCCCCCCTCTAAAAGCCCTCTCAGAGGCTATCCGACCCATCCTCAAGAAGCTGAGCCGCTCCGTGGGCGCAGGGCCATGGCTTGCTGGGCTTTGGCTCCTCGGAAGGATCCCCGAAAAACCCCCAAAGAGATAAACCCGCTCCTTACATCACGTTGAGGGTTTAGGGTTTAGGGTTTAGGGTTAAGGGTTTAGGGTTAAGGGCTAAGGGTTGGGGTTTGGGGTTTAGGGTTTAGATGGTAGGCTTTGTTTGTATTCCAGTTTTGCGTTGTCATGGCCGGACCGCTGGCAATTAGGGGCAGTTCTTTGTTTTGCTTTGGGGTTTTGAAGGGGTCCCCCAAACCCTAAACCCTAAAACTCTACACCCCGAAGACTCTAAAACCCTAAACCCCTAAAGCCCCAAAACCCTCAAACCCCAAGCCCTAAACCCGAACCCCAAGAACCCCAATCCCCCCAAACCCCCTACAAACCCAAACCCCCTAAACCCCCTAAACCCCCTAAACCCCCTAATCTCCCTAAACCCCCTAGACCCCCTAGACCCCCTAAACCAACTAAACCCTAAACCCTAAACCCTAAACCCTAAACCCTAAACCCTAAACCCTAAACCCTAAATCACAAACCCTAACCCCTAAACCCTAAACCCAAGTCTGGCCTGGGAGTTGTTCTTGTCTTTGTTGAGGCTCAGATGGGAGCTTGCTTTTCTTCGGGGAGGTTCCTGGAATACGAACTACGGTAAACCTAACCCTAAACCCTAAACCCTAAACCCTAAACCCTAAATCTTAAACCCTCCTGAAACCCCCGAAGCCCCCCCCAGAAGCCCGAGGTGGGGCGACTCGCAGCTCGGCTTCCTGGCTGCCTGGCTTGGGCAAGTGCCTCGGAGGCAGTTGGCCCTAAACCCTAAACCCTAAACCCTAAACCCTAAACCCTAAACCCTAAACCCTAAACCCAGAGCCCGGAGCCCTAAGCCCTAAAGTAGGTTTGGGTTCTTCAAGCCCTAAACCCCCAAACCCTAAACCACCAAGCCCTAAACCCTAAACCCTAAACCCTAAACCCTAAACCCTAAACCCTAAACCCTAAACCCTAAACCCTAAACCTTAAACCCCCCAAACCCTAAACCACCAAGCCCTAAAGTTCGAAGGACAACGGAGTTGGGGTTCCCTCAAACTGCCCCCTTCATCCAGTGTGCTGTCGCCTGTGCGCTGCTTTACGGGGCTGTTAAAAGAATGAGCTATGAACCCCGAGGCTAGTGCAAGAGCTCCTGTCCAATGACAGTGACAGCACTGGGATAACTACAAACCCTAAACCCTAAACCCTAAACCCTAAACCCTAAACCCTAAACCCTAAACCCTACAGCCGAAACCCTATACCCTAACGTGGTTCTCTTCGATGCCTTGGCTCATTGTGGGTTTTTTGCCTGCCACAGGTGCCCAAGCACCAAAAGGTCTTTCAAGACCTCTGGAGGTTTGGAGCACGGTAGACATCTCCACCAACCCTAAACCTTGAGGGGGTTTTAGGGGGTTTTAGGGGTTTTTTTGGGGGTTTAGGGGGGGTTTAGTGGGTTTAGGGGGTTCAGGGGGTTTAGGGGGTTCAGGGATTTAGGGGGTTCAGGGATTTAGGGGTTTAGGGTGTTTAGGGGGTTCATGGGTTTAGGGGTTTAGGGTGTTTAGGGGTTTTAGGGGGTTTAAGGGGTTTGGGGGGTTTAGGGGGTTCAGGGGGTTTAGGGGGGTTTAGGAGGTTTAGGAGGTTTAGGGGGGTTTAGGGGGGGTTTAGGGGTCAGGTTTCGCCAAGCAGCAGCCTTAAAACCTTGAGGGTTCTTGAAGGGGTCTTGGGGAGCTCCTTGCAGCGTCTGCTGAGGTGCTGGCAGCTCACACCTGGGGTCAGCCTCTTCCCCTTGCCGCTTGGAACGTCAACGCACTAGACCCCGAACTTTCTCAAAACCAGGTCAAAAACTTCAAAACTCCATAACCGAAAACTCCAAACTCCATAACCGAAAACTCTAAACTAAAGAGCAACCTCCGGAAGTTTTTGGCTGTTGGGGTTCCTGGGTTTCGTGTGGAGACAGCGGCAGCCCTCAAACCTACATCCAAGTTTCCCAAGACTCTGTACCTACCTTAAGAACCCAACACCCCCTTTTTTGTAAGTTACCGAAGATTCCGATAAGGGGCTTTATAGTAACAAAAAAAGGTAGGTTTTGGGTTCTTCAGGTAGCCCTAAACCCTAAAGCCCCAAGCCTTGAAACCCCGAACCCGAAATTCTAAATCCTAAACCTCACGAAGGACTACTACCTCTACGCTGACTTCACAGAGAACCCTGGCAATATGTGCCTCGGTCCGTATCCCATCTCGGGAAAGGCTTCCCTGAAAGGTTTAGGCGGGTTTAGGGTTTAGGATTGAGGGTTTAGGGTTTAGGGCTCAGGCCTTCTTCCTTTCAAGTGCTTTTTTCTGGCTTAGGGCTAGGCTTAAGAAGCCTTTGTGTGCCTAGGTTCCCAGTCGGGAAGCTAGTTTCCTGCTTGAGGCGCAGCGACAGAAAGCTAGGCCCCTCCCAGGTGCTACATCTTACCGGGTGAGGCCTGCGAAAAGTGCCTGGACATCTGCCAGAGTCCAGATCCACCCTCCAGTGCGTGGCTCGACGCTGTTGATGTTATCCGAGGTGGAGATGTTACGGGCATTGCTGTTCACACTCTTGTCAATTTCACTCGGGCTAGGTGATGGCACAGGGTTTAGGGTTTAGGGTTTAGGGTTTAGCGAGGTATTGGATGCCGGACAACGCGTATTTCGATGGGCGGCCATGCGTTGAGGACAAGTCCATCTGCGGCCAGAAAGCCACTTGGGTCATAGTAGGATACTCTCAAAGCGTTAGACGATGAAACCCCAAATCCTAACCCTGCTGCTTGGACACTAAGGGCTTTGACGACATCGTCGGGGCGTTTCTCGGAAGGACAGACCTGCTTCAGCAGTAGTTTAGAACACATATATATATATATATGTATACATATATATATATATATACAGTATATACATATATATATATATATATGTATATATATATATATACATGTATACATACTATAAGCTGTATGCATATTATGTATATATATATACACATACATGTATATGTATGTGATCGAAGGGTCAGATGCTTTCTTGTCAGCAGCACCTTGGGCGCGCGAGCTATCCTCGCCTCGCGGAGGCACTCGAGTTGTTTAGGGGCATTTGCTCTGGAAGTGTTTGATGCGCGCTAAATTCCTTGCTGTTTGGGTGCAGGAGCGTTGGGGATGTGTGGAGGGAGATTGAGAGCAAAGTGGCGGCGAGCCCTGTGTCTGTCAATGTGTTCGATGCACTCCTCAGTGCACGCCGGCTGCAAGTCTTCCCGTGACGGCGAGACTCTTTTGCGGCGTGTCTCGGAGGCGAAACCTCCTAGGTCCCGTGATGAGAGGCCAAAGAGCTTAAAACCTCTTTCGCAGCATTCTAGAACCCCTGGGCGTTTTAAGAGCCAGGGAGAGGTTTGAAGTCTGGGCACCGTGCCTCCGCATTTCTTTTCGGGCCCCATAATCGCTATTAAGGACTGCAAGTATAAGGGGGAAAATGATGGGGGAGATGAGGCTCACGACTGCATGAGCAATTCGAACATGAAGTTGCAGCGGTACGCCGCGGAAACGAAGAGGTTCCATCCCATGACAAAGAAGCAGCAGTTCAAGAAAGGTACTCAACTACCAATATACTAATCCATGCCTAAACTCCCCAAGCGGACCCCCACATGCAAAATCCCATCCTTACTTGAATCCCAAACCCTGAAGCCCAAATCCAAGATCCCAAATCCAAAAAAGCCTGCCCCTAAACCGTAAACCCTAAACCCTAAACCCTAAACCCTAAACCCGAAACCCTAAACCCTAAACCCTAAACCCTAAATTCTAAACCCTAAACCCTAAACCCGAAACCCTAAGCACCCAGAACCTCCCTGTTTCGACATCCCAGAAGGGCCAAATGTGCCCCACTTGGCCCTCTGCAAAGCTTGGGCATGGGGATGCACAGGGTTTCCGTCTGTGCTGCGCAGGCAAAGAGAAAAGGACCCCTAAAACCCCGAAGCCCAGTTTCCCAAAAGCGCCTAAAGCCCCTGAACCCCCAACCCCCTAAGACCCCTAGACCCTAAAATCCCTTAATCCTTAAACCCCTTACCCTAACACCCCTAAAACCCCTGAACCCCTAACACCCCATATATACGCCCCTAAAACAACAATAGGCTGTCCTACATGACCGACCGCTCGTTGCGCGCAAGGCCTCTCCCTGCCCTAAACCCTAAACCCTAAACCCTAAGCCCCAGACCCTAAACCCTAAACCCTAAACCCAAACCCTAAACCCTAGACCCTAAACCCTCAACCCTCAACCCTCAACCCTCAACCCTAACCTCAACCCTCAACCCTCAACCCTCAACCCTCAACCCTCAACCCTCAACCCTCAACCCTCAACCCTCAACCCTAAACCCTAAACCCTAAACCCCCTCTACGCCCAGGTTAGTGTCTGATCCCGTGGGCCCGAGCACTGAGCCGCTGCCGGAGCGAGTCGCCTGATGCGGAGGGTTTCAGGGTTTTGGTTTCAGGGTAGGGTTGAGGGTTTAGGGTTTAGGGTTTCGGGGTTAGGGTTTAGGGTTTAGGGTTGGAATTCGGGGCTAGGTTGCGCAAGGCTGTGGGGAAGATGCAAGTCCAGGTACATATATATATATATGTGTATATATATCTGCTGTGTCAGTATAAATGGATCAGATTCATATGCTACACCCTAAACCCTAAACCCTAAACCCTAAACCCTAAACCCTAAACCCTAAACCCTAAACCCTAAACCCTAAACCCTAAACCCTAAACCCTAAACAGGGCTTCAGGGTTTAGGGCTCCAGGGTTTAGGGCTTCAGGGTTTAGGGCTTCAGGGTTTAGGGCTTCAGGGTTTAGGGCTTCAGGGTTTAGGGATTCAGGGTTTAGGGCTTCAGAGTTTAGGGCTTCAGGTTTTAGGGCTTCAGGGTTTAGGGCTTCAGGGTTTACGGCTTCAGGCTTTAGGGCTTCAAGGTTTAGGGCTTCAGGGTTTAGGGCTTCAGGGTTTAGGGCTTCAGGGTTTAGAGCTTCAGGGTTTAGGGCTTCAGGGGGTTTAGGGCCTCAGAGTTTAGGAGTGGGTAGGTAAAACTCTCTGGAGTAGGATGAGAACCTTTTATGTTCTTAATGTTATGGGATTCTTTGGGCGGGTTGGAATGAATGCTAGAACAGTGACCCTCTAGACCCTAAACCCTAAACCCTAAACCCTAAACTCTAAACCCCACCTTGCGATGAGACTGAACACCAGGAGGTCAGCTGGAAGCCCGCCGCCGATTTTGGAAAAGCAGCCTCCTCAGATGTCTTGGGGGAACCACGCCTAGGGATGTTTAGGGTTTAGGGTTTAGGGTTTAGGGTTTAGGGTTTAGGGTTATACTAACAGTCCTTGATAGGGATTCTAGTAGGGGGGTGCTATAAGCCCTATTACGGACTCCTCGAAAAAAGGGGCCATGCCCCCAATGCTTTGGCCCCAAAGCCTCGAAACTTCCGAAGCTCAGCAGCGAAAGCGCCCAGCCCACCTGAAACCCTAAACCCGACACCCCAAGCTTTCTAACCCGAAACCCCAAACCCCAAACCCCAAACCCCAAACCCTAAACCCTAAACCCTAAACCCCTAAACCCTAAACCCGAAACCCTAAACCCCAAACCCCAAAACCTAAACCCCAGGCTCCACGGCCCCCGAGGTGCTGTGCTGGGGGGATTCAGAGGTAGAGTGTCTTCAGGGCTTCGGGGTTTAGGGTTTAGGGTTTAGGGTTTGGGGTTTAGGGTTTAGTTTAGGGTTTGGGGTTTGGGGTTTAGGGTTTGGGGTTTGGGGTTTGGGGTTTAGCGTTTGGGGATTAGGGTTTCAGGGGTTTTGGGCTAGCCTACCGTCTTCAAAAGATTGGTGTACAGGCCTTGTGGGTGATGGCAGCGCCAAAAAAGGGGGTGCGTCAGCCCTCATCCCCACCCTTCAGGTCATGTAACTGTTCAAACCTGAAGAGAGATGCGCCCTAAACCCTAAACCCTAAACCCTAAACCCTAAACCCTAAACCCTAAACCCTAAACCCTAAACCCTAAACCCTAAACCCTAAACCCTAAACCCTAAACCCTAAACCCTAAACCCCTAAACCCTAAACCCTAAACCCTAAACCCTAAACCCTAAACCCTAAACCCTAAACCCTAAACCCTAAACCCTAAACCCTAAACCCTAAACCCTAAACCCCTAAACCCCTAAACCCGAAACCCTAAACCCTTGGGCCCCTACAGTAGGGTGAGGGGCCCTGTGATGAGCTTGCGTTGCGTACGCCGCTGTTCTGCCAGGACAATCCGCTCTGCCAGCGAGAGGGCCCGAGCTGCGGCCGAGGCAGATTCGGGTTTCGGGTTTAGGGTTTTAGGGTTTTAGGGTTTAGGGTTCTAGGGTTTAGGGTTTAGGGTTTTAGGGTTCTAGGGTTTTAGGGTTTAGGGTTTAGGGTATCCATCTACACGATTCTCATCCCGAGCCCTTTCAACACTCCAAGGCCCCCTAAATGACCACAACCCCACAAGCCTTTCCATGAGGCTCCGCAGCAAGTTTCCCCCCAAAACCCCCCCTAAACCCTCCCCTAAACCCCCCTAAACACCCCCTAAACCCCCCCCCTAAACCCCCCCTAAACCCTGCCCAAGCCCCCTCAACCTCCCTTTAGGCCCCGAAACCCGCTGCCCACGTGGCTAAAATCCGCAAAGCTGGACACCCTAAAACCTAAACCCTAAACCCTA